TCTCTCCGCCATAGCAGCTGACCGAGCTATTCTCCTGTCTCGCCCCGGGATGTGCCCCCGAAGCGAAAGCGCAACTGCTCATGCTGCGGGTATGGGAACTTCAGCCCAATCCGTCTGAAATCGCACTGACATCAAAGATGGCGCCAAATAACCAGATCCGTGGGCATTCGACCACTATACATGAGGTCAAGAACCATGGAGCTCTTCGCCGTCTCTTCATCCCTGGTCTTGGCCACTAGAACGTTTGAGTCACGAAATGTTTCTCCGATATACTAGTTAATCATGGCAGGGAACTGTTGACAGCGTACCATAGTGAGCCCTGAGGTTCCAGCCCTACCATTCATGCTCCGCGACGATGGCTTGTACCATCTCCTAGGTGACATATTGCAAAACAAGGCAGCGGGCCGACAACAGGGTATGGATATCTAATTGCAAAATTCACGGTGCAGAAAGTTCCCAAAGCGGGCTCAAGCAATGCATGGGTAAAACAGGCGACCCTTACTTTGCATAGGCATTCTATTTTGGCCCGAAAAGACACTTTCGCATAACTCTAAAGGGCCAAGCGTCTGCTACCTAGATCTAAGCCGTACGCAAACCACCGGGCATTGGTGTTGGGTTCTGCAATCTCGTATCGGTTCGCACGTGAGCACTCCGAGTCGAAGGATTTGACTTTGCCAATACGAAGCTCCCCACTTTCCACATGGTACTTACAGTATTTTGGGTCGCCCATGTGGGGTTAGGGTGGGGAGAGGGAACGCGCTATTGGAATATTAGTTCCAAGGTATCTTCGCGAACTGCTTACGTGCGAACGGTGAACTTGAGACCACAGTTCTAGCCTGCTCGTCGAAAAAACGGGAATCCCTGTAATCTTTTGGATTAACGCCGAGTGTGATGTAGGAATAATAAATTACCTTAGACAGATCACGTCAGATTACACAATAATTAAAATTACCGGATTTGCACAGCGATCCAACAGTTGTCATGAGATGTAGGTCAAACCCAAAAACGGCAAATTTAACTCAACTTGGAGACAAGTTTGTTGCGTACTCATGGTTCTTGAGGCGAGGGTGTGACGGGACCACGGATAGCTTTCCGTTGCCACTTATCCTGGACACAAAATGTGCATGTTGTATTTCCTTCTTGTATCGTATACCTGAGAACTCGCCTCGTTTGTTTCCCGTGGTGATTAGCGGTTGGAAGCGAAAATAATCTTGCAATTACTATAGCCGCCAAAAGAACAACACATTAACATCCAGCCTTAGTCGAACGGCCTAGTGTTTCCTATCGTATCCCTTGCTACGTTTTGGAATGGAATGCTCGGTGTTTTGTAACACGTAGCCTTCTGCTACCGAAGTTGCAACATCACTACGCCTGCAGGCAGAATGGTTGGCCTACTCACCCGTAGGAAATCCGAAGGATTGTAAGTACATATTAGAAAATGAGCCTCTATATATGGTTTATGGATAACTCTAGGGTCTCCTGCATATACAGTAAGCCTCGAACAGGAAGGGCTTTGTTACTGAACTGGCGGACAGATCGCTAAATATAGTGTGCTGCCTGTATTAGACCTCCCATCAAACCCCGCGTCCTCGAGCGGGATATCAGCAGTCTCTCTCTCAACGACTCCCTTAGGGAGCCTCCAGCGTGTTTTGGATGTGACTTTAGAAGCCCACTGAGACTTTAAAATTGGGAGCGGAGTGGATGTGTAAATAATGGCGTTCCAAAACCCCTGCAGAGAGAGGACAAACGCTCCAGCCAAATTCAAGCCGAAATTTGGTTCCCTAGAATTGACTAGACCGTAAATTCGATTGACAAATGATGGTGTCTAGAAGCCTCGTCAGTAATAGCTTGTGAGTGCCTTATACGTTAGGTAAATGTCCCATGAAAAGATCCATACCCAGGTAGCTATCATGGCTATAAAGAAGAGGAAGGAGTACCTAAAGTAACTCCACATCGCGTCATTCTTATTAATCTGCATGCTAAAACCGCTTCCACTTTGGGATTGCTGGGACTCTATGCAGGTTGAATATGGCGTAGCTAGCTCAATGGCTAAGGCTTTCGTCGCGGTAGTCGTGATGTTGGAAGTGACCGATCGAGTAATGCTAATTACTTTGCTAACAGGCTGAGTTTCTTTGGCTACTCTTAAAGCCTTGAATTTTCGATAAATGTGGAGGCCGGCTGTGGCATAGATCGCAAAAGTTGCGATACTCACCACCCTATAAAGACAAAATTAGATCAGCTGCTGGGAAATAGTATTGTTGTCCCCTACCACACTGGGCCATAGAAGCACACTAGGCGAAGAAATTGCCACGGTTCTGCAATAGAGCACCATATCTAGTGGAGAGTCAGTTTTATGATGTTATGGCAAGGCGTGCCGGAAGTACTTACCAAGGCTGGCCCATAGACCGTTCCCCTTTCAGTAGATTTTACGAGGCTCAGTACCGTTGCGACTACCAGTGGCAACCCGTAGCATAGAAGAAAGTACCACTTTTCAAGTTTTTTGAGGTTTTCTGCCGAGTATTTCCGGTAAAAAGCAAGATATATATTAACAGCCATACAAAAGGACCATAATGAGTCCGTGGGCATCCAGCTTCAATCACAAAAATTAGAGTCTGCAAACGTGGCATGGAGGGTTAGGGACATACTATTGGATGAAGAATGCTTGTGCTAGACATAGGGCAGAATTCCGGCCCTCTGTAACTCCATCCCTGCTCATCAGTGACGCGACGGCGGAGAAAATATTTCCAAACGATGCATAAAAGATTAACCTGTTGACTGGCTTGCGAAAGGCGGTAGAAGCACAATAAGTCGTTATAATAAACGCACAGCCCAGCAGAGAAGAGCTACCTCCTACTCTTTCTGCTATTGAGATAGCTCGAAGTTGCTCGTCGGTCAAAGCCATGGGGTTGGTCTAACTCTTGAAACTGCCTGCAAGGTAGATCCGCAACCTTATAGGTCGTTCGGTTTGTGACAAAAGAAAGTCTACGCTAGTAGTACCGGGTTGAGAAAAGCACGTGGTGGCGATAAGGTAGGTAAAGCCCCCAAGAATCATTATTCGCCAAACCAGCCGCTTGCACTTAATGTACCATGAACCAAAAAGCATGACTAAGCCGAAATCTGGGGTGGACAGAGACATACCGAAAGTTTATTGTTAGGTTCGCCTACCGATTACAAGTCAAAGGTAGAAGTTGGGTACCTGCCATAATGCCCGTGCTACCTAGAAGAAGCTTGAGGCGTAAAATCTAACAAATTCAAAGCTAGTCCCTAACGTATTAGTGGATTTGCAGAGGAATGTCTAGAATTCTAGGATCAGGCTTTTCACCGATCACTACAGACAGTACGGGAACGCCACAGACTTTTAAATTATTGTAAATAGGCGATAGGTTCGAGGTATTTACAGCAACCGGAAAGAAATATCTCTGACATAACAATACATACAAGTGTCTTCACTGGTTAAGCCGGGTCAAGGCAGCATAAATTTGAGAGGGAAGGAGAATTTAAGTGTGAAGTGCTTGGTTGAAATCTAGGCTACCCTAGATTAAGAAGGTAGTCGAAAAATGTATTAAGCCATAAACTAGGGGTGGAACTTCCACAGTAACATTATCAATGCGGTAGACCTGTGTAGACTTGGTGCGAAGTTGAGGATCTCGAGCCTTGGGATGGGGTAAGAGAGTAGTGGGGCTAGAGTGGGCTAGAGTGGGCTAGAGTGGGTGGGCTAGAGTGGGTGAGCTAGACTGTAACTGCAATTCCTGGGGCGTTCTAACGACGCTACTGCAAAAGGATGCAGAAGTAGCTTCTGGGCTGACGGCGACGGCAGCCAACCCCAACCGACGGCAGAAAATTGAATCAGGCGGTGTGGATATCGGACGGCATCACGGCAAGCCGCGCCTATGATGTGTTGCGGCAGGCAAAACTCTCAGGGGGTGCTTCGGATGGAGCAGGGGTTAACCAGTGCCGACGATTTTGAGGTGTCAATATTTCCCCGGACAGATGTCGCACCCACCAATTTCCCAGTGCAGCCATCTTTTGTGGCCATTGCAAAGGAAGCCGACTCGGACGAATAGAAGGTGGTGATACCCCGTATCTCCGCAGGGTTGCGGGCTCGTATACCGCAGCTGTTGGCCGGAGGTTTGCGATAGTGGAAGAGACGCCCGATGTAGCGGCTATTCGGAGGCGTGATGGGCCCCCTACTGTCTTTCTTCCTTTATCCTGTTCCTCCCGCCAGTTCCCTTGCACTTTTTCCGCTGTAGCACGCTCTCCCTGGCGCTAGACCCGAATTCATGCGCTCATTCATGACCGACATCACTTAAAATGGGGTCCAACCTAAGCCGGCGACGCCGCAAATCGCAGCGTCACCGGATGCCCCAGAGCGGATGAGCACCGGGCGCTGCTTTCTCACGCGTATATCCACTCTGATGCCGCCATGGACCCGGCGCCGAACCCCTTTTAAGGCACTCACGCTTCTCAATCGTCAGCAATGGCTGTTAATTTCTGTATAGTAGTCGCAAGGTCTTTCGATGGCACGGAGCTATGCTGACTTCATTGTAGGGTTATTACATATGCAGCATAAAGGAAAGGTCTACGGATCCACGGAATGTCTTGTTCGACAAATAACCGATTCAAAGAATTGATTCATATGGAGTAACCTGTAGCTATGAAAGTGGACCAACGGGTATCGCATCGGAGGCCTTGTGCGATAAACGTGACATGGGGGATGGAGAAGATCCTCAATTGCTGGAAAGAGTTAAAATAGCTGATTGGGAATTAGCAGCGAAGTCTTGTGTACATGCGATGTTTGATTTAAATATTGACAAAATCGCATTCAGAGTTTAGTGACTCGTGATTAATGGATTCGGTGTTTAAAGTGCATTGTGCGATTTCTATTAACAAATCCCAACCGTACTAAATCAAGAGCATGTTCTGAAAAACACACGGTATTGTAAATTCGTACATCAACCAAGTCGTACACTCACAGATTCTAGATCCCCAAGGATGTGGTCCTACTTCAAGGAGGGAATCTGTCGACGGCGCTGTATGAAAGGACTCGAGTCCGACAGAGCCGCAGCGGCGTGTACGTCAAACTTCCGCTTGGCCATCTGAGGACCAGACGGAGTCAAGTTCTGGCCCTGCCCTATGATCGCCCATTCGGCAACTGTTGCGCCAACAGGCTCTTGAGCTTGATTGCCGACAATCAGGAGAGATGCGTACTTAGTAGCCGGGACGGGGTCGGCAAGCGTCACGTTGGTGGTGTTACCTGAAGGGATGGCAATGACGTCCAGATTGGTGGTCTGCGGGTTGTAAGGATCAGAGAGAGCGACGTTGTCAAGTGACGCCACAACCTGATAGTTCGAGCTTTGGCTGTAGTAGGCCATGGTTGGGTCACCGAGAGTCTGGTTGTGGAAGATGATCGTCGCGTTGACGGGAGGTGCTTGGGCCCAGTCGAAGTAGAAGCCCGAGACCATGGAGCCGGCTTTCGAGCCAAACGAGACAGTCACAGCGCTCATGTTTGTCGCCCAGGCGGGCTGCCACTTGGTCGAGGAGGCTCCATCCACCACGGAAATAGGGAACTGACCCGGTTGGAAGGTGTTCACAGACTGAACAGGCTGGCACTGGATGAGGTTGCCGGTGATGGTATTGCGGGAGCCGGTCTGGAGGTTGGGGATGACGAGCGAGCCCGATGCCGGGAGACTGTACACGGTAAAATTTGTCTTAGGGCCGGAGCGCACGGTGATCGTCTGGTCGGCAAAGCGCTGGTCCGCAGTATCAAGAACCTGGGCATCGGTGGCACGGCTGATGATAGTGTGGGTGTAGTTGGACCAGGCACCAATGGGCCATCCATGCCAGTAGAAAGTTCGGTATTTCAAGTACGGGATCTGGGGCGGCAGGTTGGGGTAAACGTGCAAGTAGTTTTCGGGGAGCAGACGCAGTCCTAGGTAGCCGAACAGGGCAACCTGATTAGCACCACCGTGACCAGTTAGGAACGGGAACGCCGGGTGGGTGCCTCCGTTGATGGCAGCATCGTCGATCAACTGCTCCGACATCTGGAAGAAAGGAGCTCGGACATATGGTTTGTACGAATATTGACCGTAGGTGTAAGCCGAGCATCCAGAGGGCGATATCTCGTTGGCCACGATCGAGAAGATAGCCCAGGTCATAGCCGGTCCATCAGGAGACTGCTTGTTGGCGTACTATTACACTTGTTAGGCTTGTAGTCTTTTGCTGACCTTTGGACAACTCACGTAGTCTAGATCGTTCAACGGGTCCTGAGTGGCGTAGTCGAGAGGGTAAGTGTCCAAAATAACGTCCGCTTGCTTGACCACAGCACTTCCATTCATAGTAGTGAATTCGAGGGTCACACCGTTCTCACGGAGAACCAAGACATTGGCGGCCATCTCGTCCCAGGTCGAATTCGTCTCTATCCCAAGCTGCTGACGGAAGGCATTGGCATACGACAAAGTCTCAGCAACGAGGGGCATAGTGAAGCCTCCCGCATCGACATTGTTCGCATACTCGTCCTATATAGTGTCAGGTTCTGCTGACCAAATCCGGATGCAAAACTTACGGGGTCGGTCATATTGGTCAGAGTCCAGTACGACCCATTACGCTGCAGCAGGTCGGCATACAGAGTGGCAACAGAGTTATAGATGGGGAAAAGGCTTCTCTTGAAGGTGTCGTTGTCACCGCTGGTAACCCACTGGTTGACCAAGGCCATACCAATATCACCGTTGATGTGGTACTCGTAATCCCAGCAGGGACCGGTGGCCGTGCAGTTGCCAAATCGTCCGCTGGTCCAGGGGTAGACAGCTGCCGCAGGAGAAAAGTCGGTTTGGTTCTGGGAGCCGGTGTATTTAGTCTTGATGTTTTCCTGTGCTTGCCCATACTTTGCCACTCGGAAGTTCGTGATGCGCTGGGCGGCCTCGGGGTGAGATGCAGTCAGCCCAGGTTGCATCCAGACATCAGCATCCCAGAAGATCTGTCCAGCGTAAGAGTCCGAAGTCAAGCCACCCACAGAGATACTGTCCACATTCACGGGAGCGTTTCTAGCTTCCTTGATGGCGTTCTTGCTTGCAGTGTTCTGTAGCAGGTAGTAGGTGTTGGTCACGGCGATCACAGCAGAATCAATGATGTGCATGTCCGCGGGTAGAGTGCCATTTTGAGGGAATGCATAGCTCTCTACCGAGTTGTCGGGCATGACGGTGGCCCACTCCGTTACGTGCGAACGGAGCGACTTGACATAGCCACTCTTCATTGCAGCAGCGGCCTCCTGCTGAGCGACGGACTTGGGATCTACAAAAGCGTCGGTGGATGCTCCGCCGACGTACTTGGTGACGCGCACCGGCTTGCCTGCTTTGAACTTCACATCCACAGACTGGGCGATAGACGAGGCGTTGGTGCTGACGTACGGCTTGTTAATGGCAAGCTTGGCGGACGACATGTCCACGTCCGAGCTTCCCTTCATACCGGCATAGATGTAAGCAGTGACGTTGGCAATTCCATTGGGCCGCACAGCCGTGTATATGGCACCCCTGTCCTCGCCGGACTCAACAAAGTCGGTGCGCACAGCCGCGGTACCTTCAAGGACATTGACGATCATTCCCTCGGTATCAGCGGAGGAGACCACCTCCATGTCCACCACAGCCTGGTTGATATACAGCTTGTTGGTGAAAAGGCGGTAAGTGATTTGGAAGGAGCTCTTGTTGCTTTGCGGCGTCCACTGGTAGGCCCACTCCAGGATACCAGCCTTGAAGTCGTAAGTCGACTGGAATTTGGAGATGGTGCTTTTGTCGACAGTGGCATCCAAGTAGTTACTGTCGCCGATATCCAAGACCAGTCCACCCCAGTGGGGTATACCGCTGATAACGCTGTCGCTGCCATACTGGGCCAGCCAGTCGAAGTTGTCGGAGTCGGTATGGGCCTGAGAATCAAAGAAGCCAGCAATAGTCGCAAATGTCTGGCGTCTAGAGTACAGAGGCCAGCCGCTGATCACATCACCGCCATCCTCTGTCTGATCCATTTCAAAGAAAGGGCCAACGCTGGCAACGTTGATACCAAGGTAACCGTTGGCCATAGAACCACGTGACTGGAAGCGACCCTGCTCCAGGTTGGTCGTGGTAAGGAGCCAGTTATCCTCATCCCATGTAACGCCGTCAAAGCCTGTCTGATATACATTGCTGCTAGGCTTGGCCTGGTGGCTTTGGCCAGTGTGTCTCTCAACGCTGCTGTTGATGCGGCTTTGTGAGGAACCCCCTTCCACGAGCGCACTGAGATTCAATAGCAGTGGCCACGTGACCCATGCAAAAGGCTTTTTATACGTTACTACTTAGTCATGGGGGACACAAGGCGAAAAGGGAAGTCTATTGCTTACTTTGAACTGCATCTTGAAGGCAGCGTTTTTAGTATCCAATGAGTGAGAGTGTTGTGTAGGCCCCGAGAAGCGAACGTCAAGAACAATTAAACAAATATCAGCGTAGTGAAGATATAATGGGTAATATTAAAGTCTTAAATGAATGACACAAATGGAGATGCACGGATGGTGGGAAAATTTTATCCTCCTCGCCAAAAGTAGAAAAGCATATTCCCCATCTATTCAGGAACCGCGTGGCGCTGATTGCTCAGACTTACCACGTCCGGGAGTGCCATGGGTTGTGGGAAAATAGTCAAAGCTTATCCTGGCTTGTCTTTGGGGTTACAGCAGGCCCGCCGTGGTGGATGACACGAGATGCACACTCAAGTTACTGTAGTTCAACCCAGATATGTATGTGACGTCGTACAAGGCTGTTTCTCAGGCCTGTGGCTTCACTGGGAAAGGCAGCAAATTCGGAGAGAGGACTGCAGCACCTGCCATAGCAGAGGCCGCGACAATGCTGTCATAGCTCATTATTCGTCATCCAGCGGTCGATGACTTGGCTGAAATTGTGGGGAAACCAGACAACTACCAAAGTTTCTGGTACCGGTACGCCATCATCTGTGAGATGTGGTTCCGCAAAACGTCCGACAAAAGCCCGTCGACCTGCCATGATAGGCAGGCGCTGGTAGTAAGGGTAGTTGCGTGGATGGCCAATACGAGGTTTATTTGTAAAATTCAGCCGATTTGCACTTCACTTCGGGCTAGCCAGCTAGAGGTTGACACCAGGCAGTACGAATTTCTCCCTCCCAGCTAGCCGATCCGTTAATGTGTTTGGATCTGGTACTGTAGGGCCAGGGCCGCAGCGGCACAATCAATATACGATTAAAGTTTGCCTAAATTAAGCTTTTCTTAGTAGAATACGTGAGTTGCTGTCATTCTCAATGGTTTGAAAAGTCTTAAGTTTGGGGATTGACACTCATCTCCACGAGTAGTAGATGTTAACCATACGTGGCAACTGCTAAGGCCCCTTAGTTGTACGGAGCAATTTTGTTTTCTTTCCCTTGGAACGTAGCTGATACAAACTTCCTGAGTTTAATAGGCTAATCCGCTTCATTCTCCCCAGCTGTCGCCTGGTCGTGATGGTCACCTACCATGGCACTTGTAGCTATATACAACTGTTATAGGGGCAACCCAGCCAAAGAGTTATAAACGCTTAACACACTTGCAGCATTGATAATGTTTACACTGGACGGCACCTTGAGCCGTTGCCATAATAATCAAACATTATGTGAAACACAGTCCATCCTTAAACACGCAGATACAGAGACGACAGCGGACTTTGGAGTTGCATCGGTCGTTAAGCAAATTGGGGTGTCCCGACTTTCGTTTGGTTGTTCGAGCCTCGAACACTATCCATATTGGTTGGCCCCAGATCCACGGTAAGCTCAACCGCATTATAAACGCTGACACATGTTTTTGACTTCCCCGCACCAGCCCAGTGTTATCCAGCATCGATGCCGGTTCAGACCACCCCAACTTTCTACGTGACCAGCAATGGATCCGGGAAACTTCCACGAAACCTTCGCTTCTCGTTTCCTCCATCTGTTCCTACGATCGGAATATCCCTTTTGCGTCGCGTCGCCTGTACTGGCGAAAATCAGAAAAGCCCCGGCATATTTACCGATTGAGAGAAAATGCAAGAATCCGGCAGTAAGAGAGTTTTACAGATCTGAAACGAAAAACTCATCTTACAGCCATCAAAGGTTCCACGGTACTCCTGTGGACCATATTTGAGGCTTGCTCAGTTGAGAAACTAAACGTAATGCCTGAGATACTTCTTGGCCTGGGCAATCACAGATCGTTGATCAGCTCTTGGATATTCTTTACGGCACAGCTACTAAACTCGAAAGAAAACTAATTGGTTGATTCCTAGTGTGGTCGGAGATTGAGTTATGACGTTGTCGGGAGCGTCAAGCTTTTTTAGCCTATGTGAAATCTAGGTCACGAATAAGGGGGATAGTGTCGCCGGAGCCGAGCGTCCAGCCCGAGACTCTGTCCAATAGTTCAGGCCTCACCTTGGCCAATCATAGTCGGAGTCCCATTCTTCTTCGCTCGGAGTCGCCTGTCGCCAATAAGCATCGACTTCCCCAGTTTTCTATACTTCCAGCCTACTCGGCCTCTTCTTCCTGTGTCCGATGCTGGCGTGAGCCGACAGTCCGACCCCAAGGCCAAAGCTGGACTAGTTACGCTTTCTTTACTTTTTTTACGCTTTTTCTTTCCTCACATGGGGTCCGGGGATTGATGCTTTAGCGGGCCCCCTCCCTGTATAAACCTCTCAGTTCTGCACCCCAGTCTCTATACCTTTCTGTATTTCTTTCACATCTCATTATTATTATCATATCGCAACCTTTTCCAAGATCTGTACAACATCTTTTGATTTTGTCTAGAACGTCTCATTATCATGCCTGGTGGTGGAGTCATCTCCTCGCCTGCGGACACCATGCGTGTCGAGGCTCCGGTCACGTTCAAGGCCTACTTGATGTGTGCCTTTGCTGCCTTTGGTGGTATCTTCTTCGGATATGACTCTGGTTATATCTCGGGCGTTCTGGGAATGTCCTACTTCATTCAGCAGTATGAGAATCTCGTGAGTTAACTTGGTCTGGCATCATGAAACCTCTACTGACCATCAATAGGACCCCGCTACTACTCCTGCGGATCTCTTCGTTGTCCCCGCCTCAAGGAAATCGCTCATTGTCTCTATTCTATCAGCTGGAACATTCTTTGGTGCTTTGATTGCTGGTGATCTGGCTGATTGGTTTGGTCGTCGGACTACCATCATCTCCGGATGTGGCATTTTCATTATTGGTGTCATTCTGCAGACCGCTGCTAGCAGTCTGGGTCTGCTCGTTGCCGGTCGCCTGATTGCTGGATTCGGTATCGGTTTCGTCTCTGCCATTATCGTTCTCTACATGTCGGAGATTGCCCCGCGCACGGTCCGTGGTGCCATCGTTTCCGGCTACCAGTTTTGCATCACAATCGGTCTCATGCTGGCCTCCTGCGTCGACTATGGCACTCAGAACCGTCAGGATACTGGTGCGTACCGCATTCCCATTGCCCTCCAGATGCTCTGGGCTGTCATCTTGGCCATCGGTCTCTTCGTGCTGCCCGAGTCTCCTCGCTACTTCATCCGCAAGGGCCAGAAGGAGATGGCTCGTGATGTGCTTGCCCGTATCCGTGGCCAGCCTGTTGACTCCGAGTTCGTTACCCTGGAGCTGGATGAGATCGACGCCAATAATCAATATGAGATGCTGAACATCCCCCAGGGTGGGTACTTCACCACCTGGCTCAGCTGCTTCCGCGGCAGTCTCTGGGAGCCCAACAGCAACCTGCGCCGCACCGTTCTCGGTACCTCGCTGCAGATGATGCAGCAGTGGACTGGTGTCAACTTCGTCTTCTACTTCGGCACCACCTTCTTCAAGCAGCTAGGCACAATCCAGGATCCTTTCCTGCTGAGCATGATCACCACCATTGTCAACGTCGTCTCAACTCCCTTCTCCTTCTACGCCATTGAGAGAGTTGGCCGTCGGCCCCTCCTTCTGTGGGGTGCCCTAGGCATGGTCGTCTGTCAGTTCATTGTCGCCATCATTGGTGTCACCGACGGCGGCAACCCCAAGGCTGTCAGCGCCATGATCGCCTTCATCTGCATCTACATCTTCTTCTTCGCCAGCACATGGGGCCCCGGTGCCTGGGTTGTGATCGGTGAAATCTACCCTCTGCCCATTCGTTCCCGTGGTGTTGCCCTCTCGACCTCGTCGAACTGGCTCTGGAACTGCGTAAGCATCCTCACATCCCTTCACACACGAATAATGTACTAACATTCTCAACAGATCATCGCCGTCATCACCCCCTACATGGTCGACACCGACAAGGGTAACCTCGGCGCCAAAGTCTTCTTCATCTGGGGCTCTCTCTGCACCTGCGCCTTTATCTACACCTACTTCCTGATCCCCGAGACCAAGGGCCTCACCCTGGAGCAGGTCGACAAGATGATGGAGGAGACCACCCCCGCACCTCCGCCAAGTGGAAGCCCCACTCCACCTTCACCGCCGAGATCGGCCTCGTCGACAGGAAGCTGGCTGTGGGACCTACTGTCACGCAGCAGGAGGTCTAAGCTATCAGACTAGCTCTGATATGGTGGTCTTTTTGATTTATCGTATTGAGTTTTACTCTATGCTTGCCTTAGCGGCTCAGGCTCTTACTGTCTCTACCATGCGTTGACGTTTTGATGTGCATTGTTTAAATATCCACGAAGCTGTTTGTGTTATAATCGACTTATTATTAACGTGATATAACTCTTCTCTGTTAAAGCCTTGTGGTTACTGATAAATCTTTGACGACATACCGGCGGGGTAACATCACCAACGTCAGCCACGCTGGACAAATGCAACACACTGCAGCAAGTGGAACTGCTAGTCGCTTGCAAGCAATTGCCAAGGATTATGTGGTTTCCGTGTCTTGACGAAACACCAGTCTTGCCCAGTTTCTACATAGCCAACCCCTACTGTCGCAGGAAGGGGGTGCCAAGATAAAAGTACGCTTACCATCCACGTTACAACTATGACCCCTGAGGGGCATACCCTGTCTTGTTTTTCATTATAGATTATTTATGCATAGTAATTGATTGGCCTATCAACAGGGAACATGTCTGTCGCATTTGACTTCGGAGCTGATGCGTGAGGAGTCAGGAACGGATCACCGACGCACTGCCGAGAATCTTCGCCAATGCGAACAGGAAGATTTTGTCTTTGATGTCTATAACTGCCATTTTTCACGAATTTGCACGACTGGTTGAAAACTTACTTAACATCGCAAGGCAGAACACCGACAATCGAGTGCTGGAGACTTTGGTACTGGGAGTCCTGTCACAAACGTGATCATTTCGAAACCTTCCAAGGTGATGGCCAAACCACTCAACCTCCTATTCTACGACTGCAATGTCCGGCATTGTTTCCTGTTTCTCCGCTGACTCGCCAAGGACTAAAGTTCGAGTATTTCTTGGCCAGCCTTAGTGAAGGATGTCGACCAGGGTTGAACATCTGTTTGCTCGGAGAGCCGTTTTGTAACGTTCTCCTTTGGCTATTGCAATCCAATCAACCGCAGCCAAGCTCACAATCCTTGACCTCAGGCTGCCTCGCCTTCATTAATGCACTATGGAAGTCCGACGCAGTTCTGCAGCGGCGTCCTTCTGAGAAATGCGCCGTGTCCTATTTGTCGAAGCAGACATGGGGCCCCAATCTTCGTCGTCAGCTTCATCAAAGGAGAAGATTGTGTCGCCCAACGGGCTATTCTCAATGGAGTTGCACCCCATTTATTAATGTGCGCCATCGAGTAGCAAGAAAGATATAAATGACCACTGATGAACTACGAACGATACCATCTTCATTCAAATAACACTGAGAATACTCTGAGTCAAATCTTCTTTCTGATTCTCATCCTCAATTGGAACGTCAATCATAGCGTACCTTGCATCCATTATCTCCGTCGTCCTGTTTGGCTTGACCGGCCTTGTTTCCTCTCATCCAGGCCATGATGTCAATGCCGAAGCTGCTGAGGGGGCTACGTTCCTCCAGAACGCCCATCTACTCACGCAGTCTTCCATAGCTGAAAGCTAGGGGTCATTTGAGACGGAGCGTCGCGCGCCGCGAGATGGCCGTCAAGTATCTGCGCCGTCGCCGTGGCATTGATTCTGGTATGCCCCTTACCAGCCCTACGCTCGAGTTCATTCATAGCATTAGCATAGAGACCGTAGACAATTTCCCTTTTCTCTTCCACTTCTCGGGTAGTTAAACGCCCATTCTTGATCTGATGTCGGAAGGCTTTGGCCTGGCAGGAAGCATCTTTGTAACGTGCCTTCTTATTATCAAGGGCGTTAGACAACATTTGCAGATGGTTGGGCATCATAACCACCTTAAGAATACGATAATATTACAAAATTAGGAGTCACCTAACAAAAGTAGGGGTGTTCTTATCAATTTCCGGCAACCGTACGAGAACGACCCCTCCCAGATGGATGGCGCCACGGCTTCTGTCAACTTTCCTTTTGCTCAATCTCCATCACTAGCAGGCAGCACTGCTTGGAGCAACCATTGTGCCAGGCGTCAATCAAGAGATGTAGGAGACACAACGGCACCGTATTCAATTACCGGAGGCTACGCACGAAGTCTGAGGAGCGGGAAGAAAAGGCTAAGAAACTTTTTCGGAGGCAGGATGCGAGCGGGCATGAGCCGACACACAGTCGGAAGAGTGGCGGCATGGCAATAACGGAGGCACAGGATATTGCGAGGACAAGTTCGAGGAGGGTCCATATTGTTTCGAGCGAGCCGCTTCCTGAAGAAGCTGCGTATTAGACAGAGGGAAAGAGACAAAAATGCAATGAGATGCTTACGGGTTAGGTTTCGTGTGGCGTAGTTGTCAAATTCTAGTAGTCGGAGGAAGCTAAAAATGCAGACTCTTTTAGAGAAGTAATTAGTGACAGATTTCTAGCCAGGGAACGATGGCGAGCACCAACAAAGTACCGACTGAGAATAACACAGTGAGCTGGATCTTCAGCCTCGATATTAGCCTCAATCGCCAGACAACCACGGTTGGAAGAATTAGCAAGGCAATGTCCTCCGCTAGGGACAAAGACCCCATCGCCGTGTACAGGGCGATCTGGCCACTGATGCAGGTTCCCTCGTCGCCTTGAATCCAGAAGCGTTGAACCGGCCAGCATTGGAAGATAACGGCTAGGACTGAACTAATACCCCACGCTATAGTAAATATGATCAGGCCTATGGTGGTGGCGCGAATGCCTGACATGCTGCCTAATATGCGGGAGAGCAAAATAGTGATTGCCAACTTGACAAACACTTGGGCGAGGACCCAGAGTATTTGATCAAGCCAAAACAACTACGGGTATTAGAAAAAGCTGATTCGAATCGAAAGTAATAAACTTACTAAAGCCGCTCGACGACGTATGGGTTGCGGCAAGTCAGAAACATCGTGTCCGACCCCACTAAAGGCAGCTGCTTCACGGGTCGTATAAGTTCTAGTTCAGAACCAGTAAACGGTAGGAGACTTGCCAGCAATTACACATGCGGTGAACCCATACACTGCAAATAGCCCGAGCCCCATGAACAAATCACTGATATCCAAGTTCTTAGTCAGACATCGCCGAACATACAAACGTACGAGCAAGGACAGCGTCGCCGCGAAAATACCGGCGATAGACACGCCAAGTAGCGTCCGACCCCAGTACCCGATCTCAGCCATAGTGCTAGGTGCGTTATCATTATAGCTTTGGGCAGCAGATGTAGAGTCGATCAAAAGGCTGCAGCAACCCTGACAGGCTAAAAAATCAGTCATTTTCAGTTAGTGTCATATTCAGCGACTATTACAATATATCCGCTCCATTTCCAGCGCTACCGGAATGCCCAGAGCAGCTTTCACGAACGAATACGGGACCTCGGTGGCAAGATCAGCAGGGCCAGCCTGGAGCAAGTGTTGATGTCATGCCGACTGTTGTGACTACCAACCTTTTACTGTATCAGGATCTGTGCGCGATGAACCTTGGCAAATCAGATCTAGAAAGCTCTGGAGCGTGTTTGGCTGTCTTTCTCGGACTATTAAACTAGTTAATTGCTAGGGAAAAGCAGCTCCATCGAGGTGGGCATCAAGGCATCATCCTGCGCATTTATCCTACAGTACATGCATTATCGTCCAATATCTATTTTGATTTCATATTTATAGTGGCGCTGAAGCTGGCATGGTTATTGGTTTAGATTCCCAACTCACGAGTGGCTTAAAATACCGATCTTTGATGATAATCATCAAAGATGACTGTATCCAGCCGAAGTGGCTGGTTTCAGGCGGAAAGTACCCGCTTCACTAACGTAGCCGGTAAGCGAGCCGCCACCCTACCCAGAAACACGGCCATGAATTGGCGTTTAGTTATGTTCAACCAACCACCATGCCACAGATTCGCCCCGATGCTCTAGAAATTCAACATTCCATTTCAGAAAGAAGAATCATCCATCATAAATTGAGCCCACTTTTGGCGCAAGGGTCAGTTTTTAATCATATTCTAAATACCCGCGTAGCCTTTTTCTAAATTTCTTGTCAAAGCTACCCTGCAATGACTAAATGTAGCAACGAGAAGCGCTTGAAACTGAATCAACAACACCAAGAAGCCTAGTCAGTGGACCCCGAGATGATTCTAGTGCCTGCTCAAAGAAGCGCAGCCAAGACAGCTGCTTGTCGTGGCGCAGCTGAAGTCCGTCTCTCTCTTTAGTCAGGTGTGTGCTAGCCTCCTTCAAGATCTGATTGCTCTGCTCTAGCTTCTGGCTATCGATGTGCTTGGACACGCATGACTCCCATAGGCGTCGATAGAGTCCGACAAGTCGACCTGCTGGAAAGGCGGACTTGGGGTCTTTGCGTTCGAGGTCGGCTAGCACCTACAAAATAGGTTGAAAGGGCTCGGTCGCCAAGGTATGTCTTGTTTCTGCTTCCAGTGGCGAAAGAGAGAGCTGTGATGGTCAGCAAGAGCATTGGAAGCTGAGTCGTTCCACTTACCGTTGGTGCAGTTTCCTGCGAATTGTCTTTTTCACAAACTATTGGCAATGCACTAAACTGTTGTTCTCCTTTTGCTTCCTAATCTGGCGTGCTGTTAGGGGCATCCATCTTGATCGTAGAGAAAAGTCGAGTGTCTGGGCAAAGGCATGTCCATCAATTCTTGGAGGATTTTATAGACTAGCAGACGTAGGTGGTTACTTATTCTCACTTTCACCATGAAACTCAATCAACACAGTCTAACTTTGCCTAGAACCCAAAGATTTTTCGGGGTTTTGTTAGCAGTCCGTTCAATGATGGTGCTGGTGTGAATCTAGCGGTGTTGATGGTTGGTGAATATGCCTCATATTCAGCGGCTCAATAATGGTGATCGGTCCAAAATATATATATTCAATCGCAACACGTCTTCCACTTTCCTAGGGAGCTCAGAAATCCTAAACGTACCTAGAGTAAAATTTAGAGATGAAAGCCAAAGAACACTGTATTTCAATACCGGTCATAAATTCAAAAGTTGACTCCAGTCAACAAGGACGGCCGAGCTTCAACGGGTTGACGGGTCGAGCACCGGCGCCCCTGC